AAACCAGCAAGGGGTTAGCAGCTGATGTGCTTAAACTTGGTGTTCACCTCAGGGAATGATCCAGGGAATGAATTTGTTTGGATCTCTGTACTGACTTCATGCTTAACACATAGCAACGTTTATTTAACCTTTATATGACTCAATTTCCCTGGCTGTAGTATGACTACGATAATACTTTCTCATCTTTAAAGACTATTGTGCATACAGATCTCTGGGGTATGTGTAATAGTATCACTGTTATTATAGCGATTTTTCAGAGTTGGAAATCTGATAACACCCTCATCTGTGTTATCTTTTGTGGACATATGTGTTCTATTTTACCTGTGTTCTGAAGCAGCCCTGTCATTTGAAGATGTTTGCCTAACTACTGGGCATTTCTTTATTTTAAATTTATACTTCTGTGGACTTGTATAGCTTACTGCTGCTTGAAATACTAGCTCGATTTCTGTTCTCATCTCAGACATCACGATTTTTTTGCTAATTAATATATCATTGTCAATAAATGTGTTTGACATATGCTATCTCAATGGATTGTAAAATGACACATTAGAGAGAAATGTTTTAAAGACTGTAAAAATTGCCACATTTGACAAAGGGAAAAACACAGGAAATAACCTTAAGGGATTTTGAGTTTCTATTCTCATTATGGGAAAAAAAAAGAACACTGAGGATGTTCTGCATCAATAAGAGCGGGATTGAGTGCGCCCTCAGCAAGTTTGCCGATGACACCAAGCTGTATGATTCTGTTGATACACTGGAGGGAAGGAATGCCCTCCAGAGGGACCTTGACACACTTGTAAGGTGGGCTGATGCCAACCTCATGAAGTTTAACCATGACAAGTGCAAGGTCCTACACCTGGGTCGGAGCAATCCCAGGCACAGCTACAGGTTGGGCAGAGAAGAGATTCAGAGCAGCCGTGTGGAGAAGAACTTGGGGGTGCTGGTCGGTGAGAAAAGGAACATGAGCTGGCTTCGGTGTGTGCTTGCAGTCCAGAAAGCCAACCGTATCCTGGGCTGCATCAAAAGGAGCGTGACCAGCAGGTTGAAGGAGGTGATCCTGCCCCTCTACTCTGCTCTTGTGAGACCTCACCTGGAGTATTGTGTGCAGTTCTGGTGTCCTCAACATAAAAAGGACATGGAACTGTTGGAACAAGTCCAGAGAAGGTCCATGAGGATGATCAGGGGACTGAAAAGGATTGCTTTTTCCGAGCTCAAGATCAGAGCATCCCGACACATAGGAAGTCAAGGAAGAGGGCCAGGAGACCTGCGTGGCTAAATAGGGAATTGCTGGGTATGCTCAAGTGGAAGAGGAGAGTTTACAGGTCATGGAAGAAGGGGCTGGCCACTTGGGAGGAATATAAGGCTGCTGCTAGAGGATGTAGGAAGGCAGCTAGGAGGACTAAGGCCTCCTTAGAATTAAACCTGGCGAGAAGGGTCAAGGACAGCAAAAAGAGCTTTTTCAAATACATGGCAGATAAAACTAACACCAGAGGCAATGTAGGCCCACTGATGAACGGGATGGGTGCCCTGGTGACAGAAGATACAGAGATGGCAGAGTTACTGAATGCCTTCGTCTCTGTCTACTCTGCTGCAGGGAGTCCTCAAGAGCCCTGTACACCTGAGACCTTAGATGAAGTCAGGTCGATGGAGTGGTTTGCCTTAGTCGATGAGGAATGGGTTGGAGACCACTTGAGCAATCTGGACATCCATAAATCCATGGGTCCAGATGGGATGCACCCGCGGGTGCTGAGGGAACTGGCAGAAGTCATTGCTAGACCACTCTCCATCATCTTTACCAAGTCTTGGGAAACGGGAGAGGTGCGTGAGGACTGGAGGAAAGCAAATGTCACTCCGGTCTTCAAAAAGGGCAAGAAGGAGGACCCTGGTAACTATAGACCGGTCAGCCTCACCTCCATCCCTGGGAAAGTGATGGAACACCTTATCCTTGGTGCCATCTTAAGGCATATCAAGGATAAAAGGGTTATGAGGGGCAGTCAACATGGCTTCACCAGGGGGAAATCATGTTTGACCAATCTCTTAGCCTTTTATGGGGAAATAACATGGTGGATGGATGATGGCAGAGCGGTGGATGTGGTCTACCTTGACTTCAGCAAAGCATTTGACACAGTCTCCCACAGCAACCTCACAGCTAAATTGAGGAAGTGTGGTCTGGATGATCAGGTAGGGAGGTGGACTGTGAACTGGCTGAAGGAGAGAAGCCAGAGAGTTGTAGTCTGTGGGGCTGAGTCTAGTTGGAGGCCTGTAACTAGTGGAGTGCCTCAAGGGTCAGTACTGGGACCAGTATTATTTAATATATTCATCAATGATTTAGATGAGGGAATTGAGTGTACTATCAGCAAGTTTGCTGATGACACTAAGCTGGGAGGAGTGGCTGACACGCCAGAAGGCTGTGCTGCCATCCAGCGAGACCTGGACAGGCTGGAGAGTTGGGCAGGGAGTAACTTGATGAAATCTAACAAGGGAAAGTGTAGAGTCCTGCATCTGGACAGGAACAACCCCAGGTTCCAGTATAGGTTGGAGAACGACCTGTTAGAGAGCAGTGTAGGGGAGAGGGACCTGGGGGTCCTAGTGGACCACAGGATGACCATGAGCCAACACTGTGCCCTTGTGGCCAAGAAGGCCAATGGCATCATGGGGTGTATTAGAAAGGGGGTGGTTAGCAGGTCGAGAGAGGTTCTCCTTCCCCTCTACTCTGCCCTGGTGAGACCGCATCTGGAATATTGTGTCCAGTTCTGGGCCCCTCAGTTCAAGAAGGACGGGGAGCTGCTGGAGAGAGTCCAGCGCAGGGCAACCAAGATGATTAAGGGAGTGGAGCATCTCCCTTATGAGGAAAGACTGAGGGAGCTGGGTCTCTATAGTTTAGAGAAGAGGAGACTGAGGGGTGACCTTATTAGTGTATATAAATATATAAAGGGGGAGTGTCACGAGGATGGAGCCAGGCTCTACTCAGTGGCAAACAATGATAGGACAAGGGGTAATGGGTACAAACTGGAACACAAGAGGTTCCACTTAAACTTGAGAAGAAACTTCTTCTCAGTGAGGGTGACAGAACACTGGAACAGGCTGCCCAGGGAGGTTGTGGAGTCTCCTTCCCTGGAGACATTCAAAACCGCCTGGACACATTCCTGTGTAACATTATCTGGGTGTTCCTGCTCCGGCAGGGGGATTGGACTAGATTATCTTTTGAGGTCCCTTCCAATCTCTAGCATACTGTGATACTGTGATACTGTGAAGCACCTCCCATATGAAGACAGGCTGAGGAAGTTGGGGCTGTATGGCCTGGAGAAGAGAAGGCTGCGTGGAGACCTCATAGCAGCCTTCCAGTATCTGAAGGAGGCCTATAGGAATACTGGGGAGGGACTGTTCATTAGGGACTGTAGTGATAGGACAAGGGGTAACGGGTTGAAAAGGGAAAGTTTAGGTTGGGTATATAAGAAGGAAATTCTTTCCTGTTAGGGTGGTGAGGCACTGGAATAGGTTGCCCAGGGAGGTTGTGAATGCTCCATCCCTGGCAGTGTTCAAGTCCAGGTTGGACCAAGCCTTGGGTGTCATGATTTAGTGTGAGGTGTCTCTGCCCACAGCAGGGGGGTTGGAACTTGATGATCTTTAAGGTCCTTTCCAACCCTAACTATCTATGATTCTATGATTCTATAAGAAGATGTTTATCTCCCAAACTCTAAGCCCTTAAATAGGCATCAGAGTTAGACCAGAGGTAGACTGAATGCTAAATTTGGGAACAGTATTACAAATTTCCCAGATTTCACATACATAATATATCAGAATCATAACTAGATATCCTGAAGATGGAAGAGCTAAAAGGCAGCTAAATTTTCATCCACACATCTGTTATGAAACTCACATGCAGCAGTGGCATTGCTAGATACAAGGCCATTTGTACTCTTTGGAAGAGCTCAGTCACTTGACCCTTAATCAAGCAGGTATTTTTTCTCAGTTGAGATAAGCTGCACCCAACACAGTCGATATGGCCTTTATTAGAGTTGGCAGGTGAAGTACAGCTGTATTTTAGGATATGTTGGAATATATTGCTCCATCCCTGGAGGTGTTCAAGTCCAGGTTGGACAGAGCCTTGGGTGACATGGTTTAGTGTGAAGTGTCCCTGCCCATGGCAGGGGGGTTAGAATTAGATGATCTTAAAGTCCTTTCCAACCCTAACTATTCTATGATTCTATGATTCTTTATATGTTTCTCCTACATATACTTTATGAAAATATTTGCCAAAGATTCAGTGGAGCCACCAGTAATCTTGTAAGCATCAGTAATTTTGCAGTGCTCACTGGAATGAAGATAACTGTTGGCAGCTTGCTGGTCAGCTCACTAGATTTGCAATGCCATGTGTCTCTTTTGCAGCTGATACTACCAGGGAATTATTTGGCTTAGGTAATGGCAGATATGCAAGATGAAGCTTAACACTCGGGGCAGTTAGCTTACAGAACATTCATTCAGAAGTCAGTTCTAGGTGTAATCTTCTATATTCTGAAGGTACTACCATATACTACAATGGAAATGTAGGTATTTGCTTGGTTTTCTCCCCCCGACACCCTCTGTATAAGCACAAAACATTGCTTGGGTGCTTTGTCAAGGGTGATTTAGGAACTTCATTTTGTATTAGCAAGATTTGTGATAATGTTTTTACAAGGCTGCCCAGTACCTCATATCCAAACTACCTGCTATCACTTGATACAATATTAAAATCTTTATGTATGTCTCTATGAAATCACCTGAATTTCCAAGGATTTTGTGCTTCATTCATACACCCAAAACCAACCAGATGACAGCAGTAGTGAATTCAGAGTCAGTTTTCATGGTGATTAAAGGTTATCAACTGTGTTTCCAAAGGTTCTATATGAGGCTCAATGTTTAACACATTGTTAATAATCTACAATTCACAAAGTGAATAGTGAGGTAAAAAAAAAATAAAAGTGTAAATCGCCCAAACCATTTTTATATTCCATTATACCTCGAGACACCTATGCAGAACTTAAACAGAACTTAATCAAATAGGAAAAATAATCAACACAATGGCAATGTCCCTGCTGATAACCAGAGGGCCTCTTGAAGAAAATGCAGCTATGTAAATGGTGTTACATGTCTGAACTTGTCTTTGACAACAGCATAATCAGTATTCTACATTAGTGATACAAATTGCTAAAATACAGACTGCTGAGATGTCTCATGAGAAAGGTAGCAAGGAAATGTTATGGACTGTTCACCATGATCTTCTACTCCATGTACAGCTGTGCTGAAAGGAAACAAGTTCTAGAGGTGCATAAATGATGGGATGGTAAGTAATATAGAAAATGTCCTTCATACTGACACTGATGTAGCCCCTAATACTTCTTGCTTTAGACTGGTTCCTTATCAGAGAAAACATACTGCAAAAATAGACAGGTTGAGTGAAGATAGATAAGAACAAGATATTGGTATGGAAAATGATGTCTACTGAAAAGAAAGACAAAAAGATTATTATATTAAATGATTAAAGGGGAACGTGATAAAAGTGCATGAAATTAGAATGACTTGAGAAAGTGGACTTTACAGGAAATAGCCCTTCAACATATTAAATGTAAATGTTTTGAAAGGAATAAATAATTCCTACCCATCTTATGAATGCATTGTGAATGTTATTGCCAGAGTATAATCTTTGACATTTGAAACTCAGAAGACTTGAAAGTGTTTGGATGAACAGGCAATGAATTGTTTAATAATAACACTGGGAACTTTTCAGGTTTCCTGTTTTCTGTGATATTTGGGGTTTGATTCAGTCACCTGGGTCTAGGCATACATACAGCTATAGTGCAATTTGAGATACAACAGGATATACTGTGTCATGTTGGCCTCATGAGGATGTCTTGGATAGATTATGGTGTCTCAGATGATTCTAGGTACCTGTGTTTCAGAAAACAAATCCAGACCTTAAAGCTTGTCACCATCAGAGGAGAGACACTGATCTACAGAGCCACAGCTCTAATTTAGTCTGAAAGATCCTGTGTTTCGACTGTGTTTCCCAACTGGAGTGAGCATCAACTCAGTGAAAAAAAGCATTCATAAGGGAAAACAAAAAGAAAATGACTGAAACCCAAACTGGAGTCAAGCTATTCTTTTCATAATATACTCAACAGAAAACCCAGGTTATGCAAGCAGAACTCCAAAGAAAGAAACAGGAAGACAGAAATCATTCAGTCCTCCCCATAGTTGCCTCCATCCTCCTTGCACTCAGTCATCCAGCTATGAAGGTTAATGATAAACCTCCTGACTGCCAAATTAAAGGTCTACAGGATTGTATCAGTTACCTGATAATTATTCTCTGAATATACTTCTAGGAAAATCTATTACATTCAGGCTTGAGGGAAGAAAATTCCATTCACTTCAAAACATTATATTCATGGCTAAATTTTTTTTTTAAGTTTTGTTTAACTACTATAAACCTTTAAGGATAATTTTGTCTTATTTTTCCTGTGAAGGTGGTGGTGTTGAAAGAGAAGGGAATGGAAAATAGTGGTTTACATTATTAGAATGGAAATCTGATTTCTACCAAAAGGTATCTTACTTATTCAGAACAGAAACATGCTATCAGGAACATCACCATACTAATTCAGGAAGGTTATATTTCATGTGCAAAAAAAAAAAAAGACTTTATATTATTTTGAGAAAATATCTTTGTTATTTTAATTAAAGAAACCTGAGAGGTCCTATATCTTAACCAGACTGAATAATGATATATCATCATAAACCATGTAAATATTTTAGGATTACAGGAGAATAGACTGATTTCATAGAATAGTAGAATCACTGAATGGTCTGGGTTGGAAGGGAACTTAAAGACCATGTAGTTCCAACACCCCTGCCATAGGCAGGGACACCTTTCTCTAAACCGGTAAGTTTTGTTCCAAACCTGTTATCATTTATAGAAGAAGCTTTAATGGTCATGTAATCACATCTATAATGGGAAAACGGACAACTTGTGTAGTGTCTGTTTTGCGGTAATTTTCTCTCTCATTGTCATTAAAGAGAAGATGAATCCTTTAATTATACTTTAAAATTCAGTCATGCTGTTATCCCACTAGTTAATTCAATTAAAATGAACCCTTGTTAATTCAATCAAAAGGAATCAAACCAACTCTTGAACTGTTTTTCTTCTTTGTGTTTTTCTTTTGGAGAAGGACTGGGGGGATAAAGGGAAGAAGCACAAACTGACACCAGAGTGCTTGTCTCTGGACCCTGACAAAGCAATGCTTGCTTCCTTTCATGCATATACAACAGTTCCCTGTAGGAAGGGGCCTGCCACTATTTCAGTAGCTTTTCCACATGCCCGGATTTTTGTCTGTCACTCATTTGCAATGTGTAAGCAATAAAGTTATCATGAAATTCTTAGATATAAGATTAAAAATGGTGATGGGAATGAAGGGTGATTTATTATGTATGACATGCATTTCTGTTTATGCATTCATGAAGGCCATGTCTGCAAGATCTGTAATGCCAGCTTGCACACACTGCACAAATATGAATAAATGAATAATTGTTTTGATAATATTAAACAGCATGTGTGATGTAGCAGAGCAACATCTGTTATTAGCAGTATAAACAAAAGGAGTTTTTACTGATTGCATGTCATTCTGCATACAGGAATGATGTAATAGGGCCAATTTGGTGACTCTTTGCAGGCAGCAGGAGGGATTGTGTAGGCCTGCTGTGAAAAACAGGAACAAGATTAGAGAAACAGTTCTTTCAAATATGGAGACAAAAAAAGCTCTATAAAAATGCTAAAGGAGGAAAATATAAAATGTATATAGAATTTCTTAAGTTCATAGAAATAATTTGTCCTTTTGAATGTTATCATCTTCCCTTTACTTTTCCTGTCCTGCAGTGAGTTGAATAGCAGTAACTGAACAACCTGGATTTTAGAGGAATCTGGCAACATTAAATACTTTTAAAGTACCATCTCACATTATAACCATCTAGTTAAAAAATCCTTTATGCTCACCAGAAACCCAGAAGAATAAAGCCCAGCACTTCCTGTTTCTAAGTGTATTAATAAATCCTGACTCAAGAATGATACTTTATACTGGGGATTACACAAAAAATAGCAAAAATTAGAATGTGGTTTTGTTAATGCAACTAAGCAGAAATTGTATCTCATTGCTGCTTAGACAACCAATGTCTACCACCAGCAACTGGCTGTAGGTTCCTTCATCCTCATTGATGCCATTTTTGGCATGTTTCTGATTCCAAGATGAGCTATTTCAAGAAACTACACCAAGAGAGAAGTCATCTCTAAGGTTACTTTTCTGATAGTAAAGATACCTGAAACACTTTTCAATGAGGATGAATGAATACAGGAGTAAATACAAAGGAAGCCAATAGAGCACAAAGATGGAGCTACCTGTTCTGGATACTGCTTAGTACATGATGAACTGTATCATGAAACTGTACCTTCAGTCCACTAAAGTAACTTATAACTAGGTATGTTACAGTGTTTGGCTGGATGCTTCCTTTTTGCTCTTGCTCCATTAACCCTCTTTCACTTCCTTTCGTTAACTTTTACATGATTACTTATTTCCAGCTATTGAATGGGAACCTACAGGTGTCCCTGGAACAAACTCTGTTCTGAATTCATACCAGAGTTCTTCACTCAACACTACCTCTTTGTAGTTCCTTTACCTGATTTACCTACATCTACCCAGTCACTAGATCCCTAAGCCCATCATATATTTAGTACTATACGCAGAATGAGGTCTCCTTCCTTAACTAAGTATATTAAATGGCTGCATTTCACTGTCTTTCTGAAAAATTACAATGGACATCAAAACAAAAGCAGCAAAATACTTTGGAAAAAAAAATAGTACAGCTTTGTATAAGTAGCAGCCTTCACCTTCTCTGCCATGGCCAGCACTGACTCACTCAGTTCTGATTCTTGCATAGCATCTCAAGAGCTCTGCTCATTTCATCCCACCACCTGATGGTATGGATTTGGGAATGTCAGTCCTGGGCTTGCCTTCTTTGGAGTGCAATCATGAAATGGGCTGTCAGATGCACAGTGTGTCTAAGAGTAAAAACAAATGTCCATGTTCTCTGACATGTGCAATTCTTCACTTTCATTCAAATATCTAGGTGGTTGAGGGTTTTTATTTATATTTCAAATGTGCATAGAAATGTAAATTTCAGTTTCAGTTTTTCCATGTACAATAGAAATTTGACATATTTTCATTTCTGAACAAGGCAAAAATTCGTTCCAAGACCTTCTTTTGTGTTCTCATTTAACTTTCAAATATTTCTATATAAGACTGAGAATGTTGCACTGAGGACATGAAATCACTGTGAAGATAACTTTTTTTTTTTTTTGGTGTAAGAACTTTGTGAATTGTAATAAACTGATAAGAATGAGTCTTGCATGGATATCTGAATATAAATGCTTTCTTTTATTCCTTCTGGATGAGCCAAAGTAATTTCTGGAGAAAGATATAGAACATTTTCATGGATATTCCAGTATGGTAAACACAGCCATTAAAAGATGTAGTAACCCCAGAGGTGAACACATTAAATAGCTAGCAAAGTAATATTTAATCTGAATTATAGAATCATAGAACAGTTAGGGTTGGAAAGGACCTTAAGACCATCTAGTCCCAAATCCCCCTGCCATGGGCAGGGACACCTCACACTAAACCATGACACCCAAGGCTCTGTCCAACTTGGCCTTGAACACCACCAGGGCTGGAGCATTCGCAACTTCCCTGAGCAACCTATTCCAGTGCCTCACCACCCTTACATCATTGAATCGTCAATGAAGTTCAGAAATCTTCTTAGGGCAGATATCAATAAACATGTCAATCCACTACTTAATCCACCATTCAGTGCAGAACTGAGAGGCCAAACTACCTTCAGAAAGCATACAGTATGCAGGATTGAGCCAACAGTCTAATTCTTGAAGCAAATAAAAAATATTTGAAAGAAGGGGGGGAATGAAAGAGGGATGTCTGTTGTTTCACAGGTGTCTTGGTTCAGCTCTCTGTGTGTCTGTGTAGATGCATATGTGTGTGTGTGTGTGTGTGTGTGTGTGTGTGTGAGAGACATGAGTGATTGTATATTGAAAAATGTGAGATCTGAGAATGACATGAATGGTATAGAATAAGGGGTGGATACTGTCCTGGGTTCTGCAGTAGCAGGCATTTTTCTCCTTCTTAGTAGCTGGTGCTGGTGTGTTCTCTTCCCTTGATATTTCCCTTATCATTACTATTATTGGTGGCAGCAGTAGTGATTTGTGTTATACCTTACTTACTGGACTGCTCTTATCTCAACCCGTGGGAGTTACATTCTTTTAATTCTCCTCTCCGTCCCTCTGGGAGAGGGTGGAGGAAGGAGGGGGAGTGAGCGAGCGGCTGCATGGTTCTGGATTGCAGGCTGGGCTTAAACCACGACAGCAGGCAATTAAAACCTGCCTTTAGCTGGTGTTAAAACGACAGAGTAGTACATTTTTTACTGTTGATTGGAATTAAGCCATTGTACCATGGGATGATTTTTAAATGACCACAGCAGGTTTTCATTCCAGTCATGCCTACTGCTTGTTAATACACCTTATCTCTCAAAATTTTAGTAGTAGAAACAATATCATGTTGTTCGACAACTCACTTTTTAAATGCTATAAATGAATATTTCAGTAAAACAAAAAAACCCGCTATACATTACTGTATCTCATAGTGGACCTTACCCATAAAAAAAAATCAAATGTTATAGAAAAAAGTTACATAGAGAGCTTTTTCTTACTTTGCTCCATCCATTTCACAACAAATAAAATATACAGTACCATATGGAGATCCTAAAATCTCCTACAGGTATCAAGGAGACACCTTTTTTGGAACAACAGGAAACATGGAAAATCCTATAGCTAGAATTTCAGAATTTCATTCACACACTCCAAAGCAGGGGTTTGATGCAGATCCTGTGGACTTCAGAGGAAATGGATTGAGACGTGATAGCACACAGATTTTGCAGAAGGAAAAAAACCCAAACCAACATTCTAGATACTTCAATGTGAATGTGCCTAGAATATGTAGGACTTTAAAAGAGCCTTACAGGGGGTGAATATATTGAAAAGACAAGATAGATAGAGTGACTGATTTTGCTCTGCTTTCAGAAGAGAGGAAATGACAGCAAAAGACTGCAAAATAATGGAGTAATTCTGAACACTTCTGTTCTTGAGCTGATACTGGGATTTATTTATTTGACAGTAAATTCTTTCTGAAAAGAAAAAAAAAAAGGAAAGAAAGTTTCCTATCAGCAGCTCCCACATGAGTCAGATCACAGCATTGTAACTCCTTTAGTAAATTGAGCTAATGGCAAAATGAAATGACAGAAAGGTTGCACTCCACTTAACTCATAAACAAATTTTCTTGCTTTTATCTCAGAAAAGCAATCACCCCTAAGGCAGAATAGGTCACTGGAAAGTTTTTTTCTTTTACATCCCTATGCAAGAAAGCAGAGCTGCAGACACACACAAAATATGTAGAGAACCATATAGGAAACAGACATAATATCAAAAGTTAGCATACAGTACATTTAAATCCTGTATCACAAAATAAAAAAAAAAAGACAAAACTATGAAAGTAGAATAATATGCTACTTCTCAGCAAAGCATCTTGAAATTTACTCAGTATTCTGAATAAATCAGTAGCACAGAAAATGGTCTGAAAGGGCAAGTGTAGCAGTAGTATACCAGTTGTCAAAATCAAACTTGATAGCTGCCTGAAGGTCATATCTGCCAGTATTTTGCTTTCTAATGACAGTCTATTGCAATCCTAAATGTTCTACTGAAGTCCCACACGTGATCCAGTTGCCTTCTTGCTCTTCTGCAAGTGATTTTGGATTTCCTCCATACATTGTAGTCCCTGATTATCTATTTCTAATAATCAACACACATCGTTAAAACTTCTCTTCGTTTTTTTTTTCTATTGCCTCTACAGGACTGCTTCAGATAAAGAGTATGGCAGGATACTGTTCCTTCTGAGAACAAAAGTGCAATATTTGCCATTGTTTTGCAGATAAAAGAAGAATCATGAAAAGACTAGTGGAAAATAATAATTTGCTGGTCAGAGAAGTGATTTCTAGCTGTTCTCCAGGAAATCAAGTGGATATCTGGGATCCTTTTCTGTTAAAGAAATAACTTAAAGAACTAGTTCAGCAGCTTGAACTCCCTAAGGGTATATCCCTGCTCTCTGAAATTAGGATGCCTCATAATCTGTTTTATTAAAAATGTGCTTTCTGCTCATACTGGAAAGAAAAACTTAGTTTTTGAGAAAGACAATACAATCCCACTGAACATTGTCCTCTCCTGCAATGAGGGCATGAAGAAGAAGCATAAGGTATCCTCCGATTCATTCATCTCTGTGCCATTAAATCTCTCTGCAGGGCGCAGAGTCATATCATGATCTCTCTGCAGACTACGATGGAAAAGAAGGTGTTTAGACATCTAAGATGAGTGATGGAAAAGACTTTTTCACCAGCATGTCTCATAACCAGGGGTCACTTCGGTGCTAAGGCAATACTGATAGATGTAATATACAAATTGATGCCTAAGGACGCTTTTCTGAACCGTTGTTGGATATGACTAAGCAACGTTGTGGTCACAAAACAGGTACAAAGTAAATGTACCTCAAGAAAAAAGTTACATTCCATGTTGTCTAGTCAGAATAATATTAAAAGGATCCAGTATTTGTAGACACAATTTTTCAGATAAACCACCAAATGTAAAAATAAAGCACAAATATTTTCATGAAGGTTTTGAGAAATACGTTTGGTCCACTATAACATAAAAAAGTTTTATAGCATTTTCACTGACATAAATATCTGTGACCTGATTTGCATAAAAGAGGAGGAGGCCAGGAGCTGTTATGGCAGCAAAGAGCAGCAACATGGTTGCAAACCTTTATTCTATCCTACATTAATTAAATGTACCACAGTGTGTGAAGTGGCTCTTAGCAAACTCATATTATAAAATTCTTGAGTGTTATTGAAAAACTCACAGCAAAGAATGCAAACGGGTGCTGGACAGATCAAAGAGCATATGAGGAGTTATTCAACAGGTTTGCTAATGGAAAGATAATGGCTTTTATGAGAATGATAGAACAAAAATAAAGCAGCGGACCTGAGGATAAATTAAAAGACAAAAAGAGGCCTTGTAAAATGAAGCAGTAACGTAAATCCATTAGCTGTAAACACTGGATAATATTAATACCTTAAATGGTATTCCATGTCCATTTTGTGCATCATCTTGGGTGAAAGGTGGTAGCTTGTAACAGAGAAAAAGTGCTCTTTTATTTAATGATGTTGAATAAGGCTGTTGGCCATATTGACAGCTGTGCTGAGTAGCAGCTGGTAGCTAGGCAAAGTTGTTTAATGTTTATAACAATGAAGAATAGATTTGTAGGGTTTAGAATGAAAAGCTTTTTGGAAAATATCTATAATAAGTATCCTAAAATGCTGGGAAAATATTAATTAAAAGGTTTTTTTTTTATAAAAGTAAAATTTTATTGAAAGGATAGAAATGTGGCAACATAATTTTTCCACAACGCATGCTCAGAATCATTAAGTAAGAATGAATATAATCACATACTAACTCAGAA